ATATTGTGGGAGGGAGTTCCAGAGGTGGGGTGCAATGTTTGAAGATTTTAACTTTGATGCCGGAGCTAATGGCTAATGAAACTAGGGAAACCAGCGAGTAGTGCATTGGAAGCCTAGCCGAGAGATGATAAAGGCATGAGTGTTTGGTAATGTTTGGTGTTGATCACTATGCCACTACACAACTTAAGTATAATATCCCACAAATAAATAAATTAATTTAAAAAGAGAGAGTACCTTTCTCACAGACCTAATGAGATACATCTTTGAGCACTGTCTCCTATGNTTTTTGGTCGGCTGACTGTGTGACAAACATGGAATTTCATGTGTAAGAGTATCCAAATCAAACAGAGTTCCACTTATGTATCCCACCTACATATAGATATTTCCCAGTGTCTGGAATATAGTGAAATTGGGAATTCCCTGTGTCTGGAATGTAGTGAAATTTCCCTGTGTTTGGAGTGTAGTGAAATTGGGAATATCAAACAAATCATTTCTTTATCCTGAGCTTCTATTGCCCCCTTCCCCCTTCGCCCTAAGGCTTCAATTGTAGTTATTCACACAGGGATTAAGTCATTTACTTGGTGCAAGTTGTATGTTTCAAAAGAAAGTGTTTGCATGTTGTTGTTTGTATAAATTAAAACCTTTCACATTGTCTGCTTTCACATTCTTCCTGCTTGCTCATCCTTGCTTACAGACATTCCTGAGTAGATAACAAATGTATGGGGTCATTGTTTATCTGGTTAATAATTGCTAGCAGTGTTGTTCAATTAACAGCCCAAAAGGTCACTATTAACACAGTAGCACACTATCGAAGTCTGTTAGGATCCTGTCACTCATTTCTATAAGATCTTCCAACTCCCTTTTGCCCTCCCCATAAATCTACAAACACTTTATTTTACTAGGCTGGGGACTTCAAGAACGTCAAAGTCAATCCCTCTCCCCTCTGCCATCCATAAAATCTGACAGGCTTTTAACTTGATCTGTTGGAGTCTTATTGTCGGCAAATGGAATCTTAAGTCATGTTTAGATGACCTGAAGAGTTTCACTTCAGGACGATTTACACAGGATTAAGCCTCCTGGAGTAAATCCTTGACCATATTTTACACAATATTCTTTAGAAATAGCCAGTTCTGAGTTTGGTGAGGAAATCGATCACTCTGACAAGAGGAGAGTTTTTGATAGAAGTGAAAGAACCGTTACATCTCTTTGTAGGTAGTTGGCATGTACAGAAACACAACTCTAACCAGCTTTTTACTGAAATACTTGGTGCTTGTTGTATTATATATTGGATCATACCTGTTGGACTTCATGCATGCTACGAGTATGACAGTGACAGGGGATCCAAAAGAGAACTTAGGAGGATCTACTTCATTAAAGGATAGTGAGAATGTGTCCAAAGTGGTATTTAAAGCAGATAGTATAGTTGCATTTAAGAGGAAGCTAGATATACAAATGAGGGAGAAAGGAATAGAAGGGTATGGGAGGCAAAAAGGAGTGGGTGTAGACGTGCGTGGAATATAAACACTGGCAGACTAGTCGTTCAAATGGCCTGTTTCTGCGCTATACAATCTATGTAAATTAGTTCCATTGATCTATTACAAAGACCATGACAACATGAAAATGGGCCATTTGACCAAACTAGTCTGTGATGGAGTTTTGAAAGTTGTTAAACTTTTGTAAAGGTCTGCACTGCACTGTTCAGCAGGTGGTTGACATTATAATAATATGCAAGAAGGTTTGCTCTGAATGTGTTGTGATCTCAGCCAGGTTGCTAGGAATTCTTGGCTCCCCTTCCTGAACATGTGGTGAGATTTGCAACAGTGGGGAGTCACGAACCCAAGCTTACATTGCACCACATCGTGGCAGTGTAATTGGAATGCCCACCCGCTGAGGAGCACACAACACATTCCCTTCTCAGTGCTGGGAATCAAGACCTTTTTCACTGTTATCACCCTCTCAGCTAAGGTGGAACATGGGAACGTAAAGCTTCTTGTACATTCAATAATAACACCAACTACAGAAAAACACCCTCTACTAGAACAGTATGACAGTTTAAGTTCCCACACTATGTAATGTATCCTGTGTTTCCTTTAGAGTGAGATTGCCAATTGTACTGAATCGTAGGCAGTTTTTATCCTGTGCATATGTGTTAACTTAGGATCGCTTAAAGTCAGAGAGAAGAGACTTTCATCTCAATAGTCTGGCCTATACCCAAACCCAAGTCGTAGATGGAAATGGTTAATGAGCACTAGAAATAGACAAAAATGGTTACATTGAAGACAAATCAATATTTCACAAAACTCCTTACAGATAATTTCTGCTAAGTGCAAAGACTGTTTTCCAGACAAACTTGGCAACTAATTTGCACTCAACAAGGTCCCATGAAGTGAAATATCATTTTATATGGATGATTACTAACCAGGATACTGGGAGAAATGCTCTTCTCTTTTTAATTGGTGTCATAGGATCTTTCAAGTCCACTTGAACAGGTAGATGTGGCTTGGTTTAATGCCTCATCTGAAGGACAGCACCTCTGACAATGCCACCCTCCCTCAGTACTGCCCTTGATGGTCAGCCTAAACCACAAGATGGAGTTCTGACTTGGGGGCTTTATTCCACAACCAGAGACAAAAGTGCTGGAGGCTGAGTTCAGTTGATAACTATGATATAAAATAATAAATGGTACAAATAAAATAAAACCAGACTGTTGCTTGAAAAAGAGCCAAAGAAGTAAGGCCAGCAAAGGTAAATGGAAATATGTGAAAAGTGAATTTAAAACAGTTGTTTGGAAAAACTTCAGTGAAGAGTAATCAAACAGTTGGATTAATTTCCCAAATTGTAAGGTCATTAAATAGGTTTGGATGAAGAATCTGATCTTATTCCTTAATACAATCCATACCGTTGTTCCATTGAAGCATTAAGATGGTTTTTAATGATCCAAAAAGAAGTCTTGACAAAGTTACTATAAACCCATTACAGCTGTTGAATGTAAATTAACAAAAGCACAAATATTTGGTTTATTCAAAAAGTAACTGGATGTCATCATGAGAGATTCAGGGTATTGGAAGATGAACTTCAGTGGGATGCTCTAATCAGCCTCTCTTTACCGTCACTCTCATTTTCTCCCATCTTTTGCTCTCTGCTTACTCTTTTTTTTGCAATATTTTCCTTTTTCTCTCTCTCCCTAGGAACAAAGGAATTGCTAGACGAAAAAAGGCCATTTAATTTGCCTTCTACCATCCTGGTAGTCACATGCTACAATAATAATGGAGATTTTGATTAAATATGGCAATCAATCTTTATCAATTAGTCTACAAAAGACTTGGGCATAAGACAAGGAAAATCCACCAGTGGTGGAAAGCTTTGGGAACCATAGGTCCAAAGTTGCCTGTTTCTCCCAAGCATACTACACCCTGCCATATGTCATGGCTCAAATTACTCATGTACTGTATCCCAAAATATTATTTTCTGAAAGAAATCTATCTAATTTGCGTTTCAATGAATCAACACTTTCTGCTCCCACCATCTGCCTGGGGAGCCTGTTGCATAGATTTACCACTTGCTCACTGAAATAATGTTCCGCAGATTTGTTTTGAATTTAAGCTCCTTCAAGCGCGGGCAGTGTTCTTGGCTCTACTATTCTGGACAAGATGAAGCTGCTTGTTATGATCTACACTATCTCATCCCTTTAGAATCTTAAAACGGCAATCATATCACCTCTCAAACTTCTCTTTTCCAATGTGAACATACCTAGTTTACCAAATCGCTCCTGATAATCCAATCCCTCCATCCCCTCAATATTTCTGGTTGCTCTCCTCTGTATCCCTCTCTTTCTTTCTCCCTCTTTGTGTCTCAAAAATGACAGTTTGATTACTGTTTTTCACTAAACACCAGTTATCTGCCGGTTAGTGCCTAACCGTGGTGGGAAAGTGGCATACACAGATTGCTGATACTAGCTGATTGGTCAAAGACCAGAAGCATTAAGGCTAAGAGTGTGGGCATTAATTTTGACCAAAATCTGTATGTGTTCAAGAGAACTACAGCCTCTTTTGTTTTGGTGGCCAGAGCTATTGACCACTGGAAATCCCCCGAAGGAGTAATTATAATGTTTTGAAGTGCAGCAATGTGTTTTAGAAAATGCACCGTTATTCAAACACTCCAGTGTTTACATTGACCAGCAGTGTGGAATTTTGGAATGCAAACAGAAAGGTGCTAGAATTTCCTCCACTCGTTACTTCAGTCTTAAGTCATAACAAAGGATTACAACTCCTGATTGTGAAATTCAACTGTTTTACAAACCATCATGTGGAGAGATTAACTATGATCCACTGTTTTAAAGAAATTAATGTGGCAGTAAAGCAAATTGCAATTCCAATGCACCAGATCTGCTCTGTTCCAAAGACCTTTCTGGTGTGTGCACTTGAAGTCTAAACTTTATACCCTATAAAGCTCAGTTATTATTGCAACTGAGACACAGTGTGCTAAGCCTGTTTTTAATTATGGTTTCAAATTTTATTTTATACAGTTACGGTAGGTGGTGGCTTTGCAAAATAAACTTTTTGAACAAGTGGTTTATAAACTAGTAGGAGAACCAAAACAGCCTCTCTACGTACAAATGACATGATCACCAACCTTGATTTCATCCTCAACCTTTCCTTGGAAACTAACTCACTGTCCAGGTTTACACTTCTGTAAGGTATCAGAGAGCTGATGGTACTTCTGAAGCCATACCTCAGAATCTGGGTTAACCTTGAATGCCCTCATTTATTTGTGTGTGTGAGAGAGTTTTACTTTCTCTCTCTCCCTCTCTTGCCTGCTGATTCTGACAGTAAATCATGTGACGTGCTTTGAGATGTCCTGCTGACGTGAAAAGCACTATATCAAGTTGGGATCTTTTATTATTTGAACTTTTGAGACATGGATCCCAAACAGTTAATCCTGTGAGATCCTCCCCAGTTAGATTCTTGCATAATAACCATGACTCTCCTCTCATCTAATAGGCAGGAGTGAATTTCCCTTCAACTGACCCTGGAAAAGTGGACCACTTGGGCCACACGGACAAGCATTTGAAAATTCTCTTCAGGTAAGGTGAATCAGGATCCTACACTCTGTCTACGGTTGACTCAATGATCGTGAATGAGTGCTCTCCCTGGTGCAGCAGAGGAGCCATGCAGATTCGAGGAGTCCGAGGTTGAACTAGTCCTGGTCTGTGCTGAGTTCACTCTTCTTATGCCAGAGGAAGTGAGTTGGTGTACATTGATTTAAGGTGATAGGGAAGGAATCAGCTCCTGACCAGTTACTTGCCCACTGGAAAGCGCATGAATGGAACTGATGTATCATCCCGTCCTCAATCTGGAGAGAGTTGTGTCTGTTGTAGAACTCTTTCCTTCCCTCTTTCTATCTATCCCCATCTTATTCTCCCCTGCCTCCACCTCCCCCACAGATTCTTAACAAGGTAATTCAAGCATATGTTTTTCAAAACTTTTTTCCAGATCTGCTTGACCTCAGCACAACATGCTTAATTGCTCTCATCAGCACGCCACCTTACAAACTGGGTAAACCTGAGGTGTTTTGGAGCAGTTACATCATTGACTGTGGATATAAATATTCTGGGCGGGCGGGGGGAGTAAAAGTCAATTACATAGTTGGTCTCCTTTAAAACAGGTTAGCTGTTGACTTTACTGATAGGTCCACCAGCCAATAAAAGGTAACAACGTCCGGTGCCTGCTGAGTTGGGAGAGGGGCAATAGGGGCCTGTGGGTTGGGGGGCTTGGGGGTGGGGGTGGCAGGGGTTGGTGGTGGGAGTTGCTGCTGTGGTCCTCTTCAGGGTCTTTAAGTGTTGAGCTGCAGATAGAGTTGACAGGCTGAGCCCCCTCCAGCCCTAGCCATCCACCGTCTATGGGTAACATGCAGTGCTTTGTGTGAGGTTCTAGTTTCAGCCTTGCCATTGGTTTGAGAGGTGGGAGAACAGGGATTAAGAGTTGCCCACAACACTGCAGGGAGGAAGCTGAAGGGAGAATTGCTGGTGGGTGCTTCAGTGCACAATCACTTCACTTTACAGTAAATTCCTGTGAAGCACTTTGAAACAACGTGATAAGGCATATCAAATGCAAGGATTATTAATTAATATAATTGATTTCTGGAAACTGCAGCGCTGGTTCTTACTGTTGGTCGAGAGACAAATGTGTCATGTGTCTATTTCCCCCGTCCGTATTGTGTACTCTTGAAATGATCCCTTTTAACCCACAGAGGTTAAATGAGGGCAAATATTCACACTGATGAGGTGCACTCTATCTGTTTGTATCTCACGAGTAGTCTTGTGTGTTTAGTTTTGCCTCCCACTGCTCACATCCATTAATCTTCCAGTGTTGTTTTTCTTGTTACCACACTTTAATGTGTGTGGGAGAAAACAAGACGTCTGGCCAAAGCCTTTCCTTGGTTAATCCCTCATCCTTTCATTTTCTGTTCCCTGTGTTCTTGGAATAATATTTGCTTGCGTATTTTTCTTTGAGTGAAAGAGCGAGAAAATAGCTTTTGATGCACAATATTTGTGTATCTAATCTTGTTTTCCTCTCCTAAGAGAGAGCTGCACATGTTACGCTCAGCATGTGGTTGTTGTATGGGAGAGCAGACTGCCATTTGGTCCACCTCCGCTGACTCTTAATTTGAACGGAGTCAGCACTTTGCAAACAAGGCTGCCCGTGCAGTGTCCCCCACCCCCTGTCCCCCACTCAAACTAGACTGTAAATAGGAGCATTACAGCAATGATACTTGATCAAATAGCGACCGTCTTCAACAGTGGTAACAGTGATAGTTAAGAAATATCTTGCTTACAGGGTCAAAAGCTCTTTGGGCAAATGGGGTCAAGTTCTGTGGGGGATTTTTGGGAGAGATGGGCACATATGGGAGAGGGGAAGGAATTCAAAAGTGGAATTGTTGTGCTTTGACTTTATGCCAAACGTTTATATATAGTATTATATAAATCTCGCGTCTTCCTCCATTTCAGGTCCTGCCTTTACATTGCAGTATTTTTGGTGCTGCTCTTCCCTCAACCCACCCACAACCTTATTTAAGAATATATGGCTTACAACCAGCAGATCCTTATAATTGAGCCTATGTAAGACTGAACTAGAGTGTTTTGTTTTAATCCAGCAATGAATCATCATTTCAATAAACTCTGGAAATGATGCGAATTGTCTCTCTGTGTTTCATATTTCCTCATAACATGAGAAATTCGCACTCCAGTGTTTTTTTCCAGATGTCAAATGGCACATAGCATGAAAGCTGCGTACCACATTCATTGTTGCGCAGCATATTAGCATGTCTGCAGTAAGAATATTGCTTCACAACACCAACCATTAGCCTCAGTGCCTGTTGGATTGGGGAAAGGGAAAGCAATCTACCAATCCTGCTTCTAATCGTTACAGCCCAGTGACTCCTGCTGACAAGTGCACCGTTGGAAAAGTTGGGTGAATTCTTATTGTTTAACCCTTTCATGGGGGTCGAAGTTCCCCCTTAAAGAATAATCTTGTGCAAAGAACAAGGTTCGCAAATGTGCAAGTATGTCCACACAAGTTGCTGCACTCAGGAGACAAAGGGAGACAATTGAGTGTGTGGGGGTGGGGGACTGGGGGAGAAGATTATTGGGATCTAACATTGCCTTCATCTTACGCTTGAAATGGTTTTGTGGGCCTGAAAGTCTGAGTGCGGTGGCATCTGCTCCTTTTTATATGGAAAGCTTTTTAGATTGCAAATGTCAGACATGAAATATCTTAATTTTACATTTATTATTCCTGTTTTCTTTGCTCCTCCTCATCTTGATATAAAGAATCATTGTACTTCTAGCGCCGCATGTCTGGAGGACATCTCAGAGTGCTTCACAGGATGGACTGTAAATTAGAGTCATTGTGTGTTTTGTGGGTGAATAAGTGGTCTGTTTGAGCTTTACTGCATGTGTAAGTCTAGTCAGTGTTTTGAATCTACAGTGGTAGATTTGTTATTTATTACATACGTTTGTTAATGCCTTGCCTCACAGAGACTCACCAATTTATTTGTATCTTTGTTACATGATCAAGAGACTTTAGATCCAGCATCGCTATGGTTAAATGAAAAAATAGCATACATTGCAAAATCTAATTATCCAATTTAGATGATGTTTTCTGTCAACTTTCCTTCCTGACATTGGGGGAGAAGAGATTTACAACACAGTAGCACAGATACATTTTACCATTTCACATAATTAACTCAGTTCACGTAATTAACTCAGTTCACGTAATTGAATAATTTTACCAGTTGTCATGGATGTTTGGTACCTTCAAATATCAAGTTTTTTTTAAAAAAACCTAAAAACACTGAACAGTTCTGAATTAAATAAATAATGATCTTGCCATTTGTTTTCACAGTGAAAGGGAACAGATTTCCAAGAAGTAAAATCTCTTGTGACTGCCTAAAAAAGCCAATGGAAATGAATAGATTTATTACTTGTTACCTAAGTTTGTTAAATGTCTTGCCTCACTGAGACTCGCCAATTTAATTGTGTCTCCTTCTGTTCTCAGCTGCTTTGTGATCCAGGTTACCAGGGGGGTTGAGGGGTACTTGCATCCAGGGCAGCTCTATTCATTTTAATGGGATGGGGGGGGCAACAGGACCCTGGGCCAGTATTGGAGCTTTCCAACCCCAGTTGAGGATGCTTTTGACTGGCTACAACTGCGTGCTCAGTTACTGAGAAGATCTGGTGGCGTCCCTGTAGTAATTAGACACTGTGCTGTAATGAGCATCTCAAAACAAAATGACGCTCGTCCCATTTCCCGTTCGTTATGTCAATTTTGGTGCTGAGCAAGCACCTGCCTACTCTGAGCTTCCAGTAACCACGGGTCATGCTCTCTCGCAAATCACTCAATTACTGAATCGGCCTGTAGTGAGTACAAAGGTTAAGGGAGAAAATTGAAAGGGGGAAAATGATGATCAGTAGAACAATCAGTATCGCTACTGGAAGAAGCATTTTTTTTAGGGTACTGAGCATTTACAGCACTAAGTTCTTGAGTAACTGAACTGCTTTGATTTTTTTTATCAATAAACCAAACACACTTTTGAACAACATTATGTGAAGACCATGCCATCGCTACATTGACATTTTTCCAATTGCTTTAATGCCAAAGACCAAGCACGGTACATATGGGAACTGCAATCCAATGAAGCTACTCGCATTTGATTTGTTTCATGCGTATCTGATTTTTTAAAAAAAACCTTGAGGCCTTGACAGTTTCATTATAGCCGAGTCACCCTACACTGTTGACTTGCTTATGAGAATGGGTTAAAAAGCTGTTGTTTTAGAGAGGCCCAGCTGTCCTTGGATAGTAACCTCATATGTCTTTTTTTTAGCAATGATATAACGAAGAAGGTGGAGTTTTCTGGAGATGGAGGACCCCTAGGAATCCACGTGGTGCCCTTTACTTCTACACTGAGTGGAAGGTAAAGTATCTGAAAGCACTAGTATACTTAAACTACAGAGAGGTTTGCTCCTTCGGGACGAGGTACCAGATGGTGCCTGAGGATGTGCCACTCCCAATGTAAATGGTGGTCCAACTGAGCATCGGCTCAATAAAATTGGATCCTGGGCTTAGCGATGGAGTATTGTTTCTGTCAATATTGGTGTTTACCGCATGTTGCCATTTGAGATCATAACAATTTGACTGAAAGTGAGATTAGTATTGACACAATCATCTTGAGTGATGCAATTCCATAATGAGAAATTGGTCAGTCCCAAGCACTGTACAAATAGGATTTTTAAAAATATAAACTGTGTCTTATTATTGCCTTGATCTGATCTGGAGTGAATGCAGTATTTCTGATTTAAAATAGGCATAAATATCTCAGGAAAAGTCTGTTGAGGGATTTTCATTTGTTCTCCAGCTTTAGGTTGTGAAATGAACCAAAACCAGAAAGCTAACTTATCCCACGATGAGGTGTCAGGTTTATTATCCCTTTGGGAGCACATGCCTCCTTTCTCTCTGCCATGTACACATCCCATGGCACTATTTAGAAACAATTCACTTTACAGTGTGTTCTGTGAAGCGCTTTGGGACGTCCTCCCGACGTGAAAAGCGCTATATCAAATGCAAGGATTATTATTATTATTATTAGAAGGGTTTATCCTGGAGTCGTGGCCAACATTCCATCAGAAAAAAATCGTCATTCACTTCATGGATGTCTGTGGGATGTTGCTGTGCGCAAATGGGCTACCAAGTTCGCCCACAAATTACACAATCACCACAAACATTCTTGTGATGTGAAAGGCTCAGGGTTGCTAAATGCCAGGATTATTATTATTATATGATCTCTTCAAAAGGACATCAAATGTCTCAAGACCTCTCTATTTGACTTTTGGTCATTTTTCCCCACCTCAGCTCCCATCCCCAGCTTGAGTGTCAAGCTGTTATTGTTAAGCGCCTTAGGATGCCATCATGACATGAAAGGCACTATATATAAAGCAAATTTGTCGTGTGTTGTAATCTGAACCCTTGCATTGCAGCCTTTAAATCATTCCCTGTATCATTATTTGTGTGCAGTGTGTAGAGGTTTATTTTAATATAGGCGTCCAGGGTCTGCTTATGCTTCGGAAGCAGCTGCGATTGCAGACTCTAACTCTCGCTGATAGGTGATGATGTTCCCACAAAAGCATCACGACTGTGATGACATCCTTGTAGGTTTCACCAGAGTGAAAAAAATCTGCAACTGATTACTGGGAAACTCTTTGCTCTGTACTTGTGGTAATGCCTCAGTGCTGAAAGTTTAGAACTTAGTTCTGCTGCATTCCATAGTTGTTATATCCACTTTCTACCCTTTAATAGAGGGAATCTGGATGCAGACTCATGCTTTGGTATTGAATAATAAGCTTTAATACAACGTCTTTCACATCAAGAGGACGTCTTGGGAGGATATGAAGTGAAGTGACTCTGTATTTTGTATTTGGATTGTTAGCCTACACTATGCAAGTTCAAAGGCCCAATGCGCACTATTGATATTCATGAAAGATTTTAGAAACTCAATGCCAGCTTCTCAAACACCTGCAAGGGAATTGACCTGGTGTAAAGTTGTTGTATTTTTAATTGGAGCAGACTCTTTATGGCCATTGATGTCTTTTATTTAGAAAAAGTTTTATTTAGAAGGTGTTTACTTGCCCTGGGGTGTGTCCCGTGGCTTCCCTGACTTCTCTGCAGTGCTCCCCAACTGGCCATTCTTCATGTTTGAACCAAGATGATGATTGTGAGCAGGCAATGCTGAATTGGGGCAGTGCAGCTGAACCTGATCCTAGATTCTCCCGACATCCATCCACATACACACATTCTCTATTCAGCAGGGATCACAGCATGGTGTTCAGTAAGGAATACTCGTTGATTTTATGTATCCTGCGCTACCCAGGAGAGGTGCAGAGAGAGAGGGCAGAGGAGAGTGTTGCGTGGGTGGAGAAAGAGAGTGGTTGCGGGATGGGAGAGAGGGAGTGAGAAAAGAGAGAGGATGGGAGAAAGCAGTGAGAAAAGATGGTGCAGGAGAGAGCGAGTGAGAAAAATGGGAGTGAGTGGGAGAGAATGAGAAAAATAAGGCAGGCGAGCCAGCGAGAATAATAACAATAATAATCCTTGCATTTGATATACAACAACAACAATTTACACTTATATAGCCCCTTCCGCGCAGGGTAGTGTCTCAGAGCGCTTAACAGTGGCGGAGCCTGACTCCAAGCCGGGATTTGGGGAGGTGGCCATAAGCACCATAAGCACGGTCGAAGAAGAAGGTTTTCAGGCAGGACTTGAGGAAGGGGAGAGATGGGGCAAGGTTGAGGGATTGAGGGAGAATGTTCCAAAGTTTTGGGGTGTACTGGCTAAAAACACGACCTCCAATGGCGGAGTGGATATAGCGCCTTATCACGTCTTCGATACATCTCAAAGTGCTTCACAGAATCTATTGTAAAGTGAATTGACTGTATATTTTGTGCGTGAAACACGGCAGCCAATTGCTCACAGCAGTGTCCCACAAACAATTGTGGATTGAGTGACCAATTTTTTTTTTGAAGGAATAATGAGCGAGGGCGAGAGTGAAGGAAGGAGTAAGCAGGAGAGAGTGAACCCAGGAGTAGGAGGGAGAGCAGCAAGAGCGAGCGCAGTTGTGAAAGCGAATAGGGGAAAGGGAGAGAGAGCATAAGTGCACAAGAACTGAAATATGGAAAATTGTGAAAGAATTTGCCAACCACCTGTTTTAACATTTAAAATAAAAAAAATCCCTGATGAATATATAATGTTTTAAAGATGTTAAGGCTTTTGCCCCTGGTTTTACATCTGCAATGCATCGACTGTGAAGGTTTGACATTAAATCTCTTGGAAAGAAAGAGGGCAAAGGAGAGTAGCACTAAGGGAATGGTAATAGACCAGGGTGAACAGATGATCAATAAGAATCACAGAGGTTCATCTGTAAATGACTGGGTTTGAAATACTGCAATCACTATAGCACTGAGTGACTTATTTATTCCTTTATTCACAGAACTTGCAAATTGGCAGGGAAACGTAGGCATAAATTTTTACAAAGCCACTCAATGAAAATAAAAAAACAGAGTGGCAAAAGCGGTGAAAAATTAAGAATTAAACTCATTAACTCCTGTGTCACATTGCTTACTTCAGCATTAAAGATGTATTGATGAAACTAGGCAGCCCAATGCTGCAGCATTCTGGGGTTCTCTAACCCAAACAGGTGAAACTGTCATTCCATATAATCCAGGCTGACACTCCAAGGCAGTGCTGGATGTGGGGAGTACACTTTTGGAGGTGCAATCTTTCAGATGAGTTGTTAAACGGAGGTCCTGTCTGCATGTTCAGGTGGACTTTAAAGATCCTATGGCGCTATTCGAAAAGAAAAGGGAGTTTCTCCAGGTGTCCTGGACAATCATCCCCCAAATAAAATTAGTCATTCATTTCATGGCTGTTTGTGGGACATTTGCATTGCACAAATTGGCTCCAATGTTCACCCACAAAATACAATCGCTGTGCTTTACAGTATCCAGTGAAGTGCTTTGAGATATCCTCCCAATCTGAAAGGTGCTGTATAAAATGTAAGGATTACCTTACAAGGATTGCCACGTGTGGCCATTATATGGACTTACAAAGTGGAAGGCTTCATATTTAGCATAACCAGCCCCCTTTACCCTGATTCTTTCACCAAATCGAGCAGTAGCACCCTCAAATTTCTTCTCTCCAAGTCATGAGAGCTATGGTCCATTTGACCTAATCTTTCCAGAATGACAACTATTCCTGGTAACCTGTTCCAGCTGGTGATTTGCCTCTGTGGAAGGAAATGCTTCCTGGGGTCTATCTTAAACTTGCCCATCGCAGCCCTGAACCTGTCCTTCATATCTGAAAGTTTTGTTCCACCTTTCTCATGCTGCGGACCAAGACCAATGCAGGGAATTATGGAAACAAACCCCAGTGGATAGTAAAATATAGATTCGTGTACTTATATTCCTTGCAACATATTCATACTTCGTAGCTCCAAAGCAAAGGGCAATTTCCTCTTGTCCTCAAGGAAGGAGTGAGTTGTAGTGGGATATTTTGCGCAGGTGTTGACAGCCTTCTTGCCCAATTATGAGTCAGATTTTTATTCAGAGTCAATCCAATCAATTGTTTTCAGGTTATTTGCCATTGGGGGAAATCACAACTGAGCCTGATTCCAATCCTCAATGAACAGGCACTATTTATCAGGAATATTGACTGGCTGCTTTTCCCCTTCTCAAGCCCTGGCTGTTTTCCCCTTTTAAACATTTGTGGCTTTTTCCACTCAATCTTGGAAACATAAGGTAATTATGATCCCCACCCTACCCCGACTCACAAATTTAATACAGCCCAAGGCAAAGCCTTGGGACATTCCTGGCCTGTGTGGACTGCTGCCATACCACATAGTGCTATTACCCTCTGAACCTTTAGGAACAACCTGGTACTGCTTCTTCATTGTTACTTGCCAACATTTAAGCTAACACAGCTGTATTGTGCTATGATCCCACGTCTCAGTATCCCAGAAGCCCATTCCTGAATCTTATTTTATTTTTGCACATTGGTTTAAACTTATTCAATGAAACAATCTGATTGTTTTTTGCACAGTAGAGATATAGTTTGAGATAACAGTGAAAACTGCAATGAAACTCACAGTGGAATAGGGAGAATCTCTAAGTTAATAAGACAAACACGTTTGGTGGGAGGGGGTAATAGCATCTTATGGTATGACAGCAGCCTGTACAAGCCAGGAAGCTCCCAATGTTTATCCTGGGCTGTTTGAGTTTTGGTTGTGTAGTCACAACAAGCTTATGTTCCCAGTCTTGAGAGAAAACGTCTCAGACAGGATATCATGGAGTTATATGACATTTTAAATGGGATTGAAAAAGTAAACCCAGATCAATACTTTAGGACGTGTCAAGCAGTAGAACAAGAGGACATACGTTTAGAGTTGCAAAGGGCAATTTCAGAACAGATATCAGCACGTTTTGCATTACGCAAAGGGTAATCAATGACAAGAACAGGTTGCCAAAAAAGGTGGTAGAGGCCAGGATACTGGGCACATTTAAAAAGCAGCTTGATGTAGTCATGGAAGGGGGAATGGGAACGGTAAGATGGGTATTCAGGAGGAGAGGCGGAGGGCCTCTTTCATCCAGACTAATCATGTGATCTTGTAATGAGGGGTACAAAATGGTGTGAAATATACAGGAGCATTCATTCTTGCCCTTAACAATCATTGATTTCAGGATGCAACAATAACTTGCATTTATATAACACACTTCACACAGGGTAGTAGGCATTTTGCTAGGGTTTAATGTAAAGTATATGGACCAATTGCTATCACCTTAAATTGAATCTATCCACTAAAGTATATCTTTCACTAAAATGTGTAGACTTCTCATGTTCGGAACATTTTACTGGATTCCCGTCAATTCCCTTTAATTCCCCTCATGGCAGCAAAGACTGATATAAAGCTTCATTGTCAGTAGGAAAGTATTAAACAGGAAAGTTTCTTCTTTTTCTCCACTCACCCCTTCATTGTCAGTCACCAGCTAGTGCTTTGCTCTTTAGCTCTCATTTGAGGATGAAGATTCCATGCCACTCCCAAAGTCTTCACTTCCTGATCAATTATTTTGTTTTGGCTTTCAAAATGCATTTTTTGCCTCCCACACCATTTCTCTCTGTACACTTCTTGATTTAACGCACTCTCCACCCATAGCTCTGTAAACTGAATCTCAGCCCTTGCCTTACTGAATCCATTTGAGTTGTGACTTATCCAGTTGAATGGTTTGTTTCTTGAGTGGAGAACAGTGGTATTTGGTTGACCCACACACTTTGGATTTAGGACTTTAAAGTTTTTCTTACCAGGTTTAATTGAGACTTATTCATGATTAGAATAGCTTGAGGCTGAGAAAGGTTTTAATTAAGGTTTGTCTCCACAACAAATGCACTCTAGGCACTAACTTCACAGGGCTTAAAAGCTGGGCTGAGAAACACAAATCATTTCAGTGCGGTTTGGCACGGTCCTTCTCATTCTGTTAATTCCTCTCCTCCTGTCTTCCCCCTCCCAACCCAACAAAAAACAAATGTTTGTCACTAGATGCTGTAAACATTGAATTGAAAATCTGGCACAGCTAAATGTTGCACTGATCAAAATAAATACAAATGTTAAATTTTAAGCAGAAGATTTCCAGTATTCAATTTAGTTAATGCATTTAAAAGGCCATTTGAAACCATAAAATCTCAAATCAGTACACATTCTGTGCACTTGTATTAAAGTTTATTTATTGTTAGGATTATTGTATGCTGATGTTACATGGATGGAATCTTGTGTTACTGTTTACAGTCAATGTGATTGCAGTACGTCACTGGAGTGGATGAGACCTTTTTGTTGTCTATTCCAGTTATGTTTTTGGAATGAAACATACGATAAAGAATTGGTGTTGGTGTTAACGAACAATGACGCTGTTTGTGGGGCTCATCCAATATCTCATTGGGTCTATGCATTATCTCATGTGCAGCTGAACCATATACAGCAGGAGGTCCTAGATTTGATTTGGGTCAGTGCTACATAGAATGAAGCCACTCAGTCCCAACTATTCTGTGCCAGAAGAAATTAGTCGATGTAAACAGCATGACACCAGGGGCACTGCAACTCTCCTTAGGTTAGGATAGAGAAAATCAGTCAGGTTTGCAAACCTGAAGTGTGTGGCTGCTCGTCGCTGAGGATATGATTTGGGTTTGGTAGGTTCTACCCTTTCCCTCTCTTCTCTCACTACCTCCTTGACTCCCCTGCCCCCGCTAATCCTTTGTCAGCCAGTGTTTGGGGGTCTCTTGCATTGCCCTTGGGATCACATGGCTAGCGGAATCAGCGTCTTCAGGAGAGGAAAGGGAGAAAATTGGAAAGATGTTAAGAGCCTGGACTGCACACTGTTATACCAAGATGTTTGCAATATGTTTGTGGTAACTATCTTTCACTGTAAAGTTACATCGTAAAAAATGTGTAACAAGTTTTGTACATTTTCTGCTTGGGTCAGGGTTTCTATGTGTACTGATGAAATACTGCCAATTTACAAGCTTTGTACCTCAGCCCATTTAATCAGTTTTTTTTCCCCTCAGCAATTCAATCTAAGCAGAAAGCAACTAAACACACTTAACAAAAGCATATTTTACATAGAAATGATTAGACCTTTAAATGGCCCGCTGTCTGTTGATTAAATGTGACTTTAGATTGACTATATTTATTGTGCTAACCATTATAAACTGGCTAATGAGGGAGTGTTTTATACTTGGATGCAAAAATTCTGTGCAACGAGTGATTGAGAAGTGGTTTGATTTGTTAGAACTGTGTGCACATGGAGTGAATGTGAAGTAGTTTACTCCATTTGAATTTGTGGAGTTAATGGAAAAGCTTGTGCAATTTTTGAAATTGGAAAACTTTTTGGCCAATTCAGTTGGTTGAACATCATTTTTTGCATTAAAAGATTCTGGGTTTGAATCCAGGTGGATCTACTCAGCTCTTCACTGTTTCAACATTGATGAGCAAAAACACTTTCTACTGGCTGGGATGGGAGGTGGGTAAAAAGAGAAAAAACATGATCCATGGACATCAAGAAATCAAGGGCAATGTTGATAGCTCAACAGTGAGAAATGTCTTTAACCTTGCAAGTCAAAGCTCCAATGGTCAGGCTGGAAAAGTGGTGGTTAATTTGGCAATTCTAAATAATGGTAGTGATTGAGAAGGGCTGTTGAATTTGCTTACCGTAGAAGTGAGTAGAAAAGGATTTAATGTTTGGAATTTTTGACAATTGGAAGTGACTTGGTATCTGAGAATTCAGTGGCTGGATCCTGTATGCATTCGCATTGGGCTCAAGATAGTCTGATGGTTGCAACTGTAATTATATAGTGGAAATAGTTACAGCACATGAGTGAGGTTATCTTTCAAACAGTGCCTTAGAATACAGAGTTTGCCTTTGAATTGTGCAAAAATCTTGTGATTATATTACGTTAGACGACACTTGGCTGTCATATTGGCTGTAAATAGGGTGATTTCGGATGGTTGCAGACCATTTTTCTACCTTGCTCATTTTGATTGACACCCATACTGCCCCTCTTCATCCCCCCCCTCCTCATTGAAAAATTCAGCACAGACTCTTTATCATTTTTCTTTGTTTTCCAGATTCCTGGGTCTGTGCATTCGTGGTATTGAAGAGAACAGTAGGTCTAAAAGGGAGAGACTGTTCATAGAGAACGAGTGTATCGTGACAATTAATGACACAGATTTAACAGATAAAACATTTGTTCAGTAAGTTTGTTTGTTCTATACCTTGGCTACATGTTCAATTACATTTTCCGATTTGTCTCCCTCAAAGCTCCAATTAATTGTACATAACACAGTACTGGCCACATAAACCTAAATGTTCTCCCTTCCTCTCTTGAGCAGGGAGAGTTATAATGGTCATGGGTGTAGTTTAGTGTAAGCAGTATTGGATGTGCTTCTTCACTTGTGCAGAACACGTTATTCTCCTGACACATTTCTGTACCTCTCACTGGTAAAAGTATATCAGAATTTTGCCTGTTCTGCATCCAAAACTAACTCCCAAGTGTAAGAATGAGTGAAAGTAAAGTTATTGTAGAGCCTAACTGTATCACTAAAACACATGCCATGGGTGATGTGAAGTGAGTCAAGCTTGGCCATTCCCTGCACATTGACTTCCCGTTTTCAGTCACCAGTGAAGGTGAAATGATTCTCATGAGGGAGATGGAGAGTGAATGTGGAAAGGGTAAGTCACACTGCTGTAATTTCTACTTTCACGTTCCCCTTTGTGGTTTCCTTCAAATGAGACGTTGCAGAGGTCGGTAGTGGGAGAGGAGAGAAGAGGGATCTAAATAAGTGGTGGGAGGGTGTTAAAGAGAGGAAGAATGGGGACTAGAAAAGCTATCTAAAAGTAGGAAACCTTTTGCACTTTGGAAGTTGTCTCTTGGTTTGACTCTAAACTCCATTTGATTACAGAGCACAGGAGATCTTCCGAAATGCGGTGCAAGCTCCTTCTGTCCAGCTGGAGATAGTCCCTGGGTGTAACAGAGAGCGGTATGAAAAGTCAGCCATCGGATGTCTCATTAACCACAAGCATGAAGACAATAATGCAAAACCTAAAGTTCCGCCTCCAATGCATTCCAAGCTGTCCGTCAAACAAATTGATTCAGTCAGTTCCAATAACTCCGAAAGTGGTTTGCCATTGGTCTCGGCTCAGATCAGCAGCCCAACGCAGACAAGAAGCAACAGCCACTCGCTTTTGGCAAAGAAAACATCCTCGCCAACAGTGTTTGGGGGACTGGGCTCCAAGAAACAAGGGAAGAAGATCAAAATCGATTTGAAAAAGGGTAATTTGGTGCATGACTTGGACCTGTCCTCCAGGAATGACTTACGATTTCAATAAAAGTTTGAGATAGGAGAACCAGCGTCAGTTTATAATCTAATTGATGAGTGAGACGCACAGGATGGTTAGCTCTCAGCCGTACCTTGGGGCACTTAGGGACTTTGCTGGCTTTTCAGAGCTAGTTCAGTCCCAGAGATACCCAATTCCCATCTCAACCCCAAGGAGGATATTTTTAGATGTGCATGCACATTTTCTGGATCTCAGAAGGGTGAAGAGCTGAATAGACCTACTGGGTTTGAATCTGGAATCATTGATTCAAAGCTTTCAGGAATAAATTGGTAACATAGATTGCTAGTGTTGCCCACAGCCCTCCCTGTGTTGCTATTTGTAATGGGAAAAGAAATACATGGTACATGTCAGAAAGAAGTAACACTACACAAAAATTCCTGCTCCAATGCTGCCTCTAAAAATCAATCTTAAAGCATAAATCACAGAAACTGGAACAACTTGAGAATTGCCAGTCGGATTACAGGTGTTTTTTTATATATAACACAGAACAATACATGGCCATTAGAGGAAAGAACATTCCCTTTTAAGCAAGGCTTCAATACCGTAGAGCCTCCTTGCCCTTTGGTTCGAAAATGACTTATTTATGTATTTATTCCTATCATGCAAAAAAAACTGTAGAATGTATCAGGGATGAATCAGAATTGAAACAAATGGTTTCTTTAAATGAACTTTTCCCATTATCTAGGTGCCCATTAGCTGGAGTGTATCGTGCATTGGAAATCAATCGGGGGCCTGCGAAAATTTCCCCTTTGGAAATGAACATTCTCATTAACCCTCCACCATTGCATTTCAGCCGTCATTTTACTATGGAATATGGGATTGGCATATTCCTTGTGCTCTAATATGGGCCTTTGGTGAAGATTGCTAATTATCCTGCTTCTGTGTGTTTGTTGGCATAACATTTCAGAATACAGAGGCTTTTTTTGGTAATGTAAAAGCCAGTGTTATATACACATTTTCTGGTGGCTACGGTATATCAACAAACCTTGAATCATAGAGAATTACAGAGAGGAGGGAAGATCTAACTATCATTACTCCTTTGTAAGAGTGGATACCTTATTATTCAGAATCCTCTTTTAAGAGCAAATAGGATCTCACCATCACCATCCTTCTGATGAGACATTAAATGTTAAAGATCCCATGATGCAATTTGAAAAGGGAAAGGAGTTTCTCCTGGTGTCATGGCCAACTATTCCCCAAATAAAATTGGTTTCTCACTCCAAGGCTGTTTATGGAACATTGCTGTGTGCAAATTGGCTGCCGCATTCACCCACAAAATACAGTTGCTGAACTGTACAGTACAGTGTACCATGCAAAGCACTTTGAAATGGCGCAAAACCAAATATATAGATCCTGCGGTGAAAGGCGCTATAACAAACGTAGAGACTATTATTATTTTATCAGGGCCTCTTTTAGAAATGGCAGACAGTTCATGATTGGGATCAATTAAGCTTTATAGTGGGGAGGAATACTGCCTGGGAAAGTACTTTCAATGCAATGTATTTTGCAGGGCACTGGAAGCTCTGTTGTGTGCTCAGCTTATTTAACTAGTTAAAGAGTACTTAGTTTGACTTGAGTACAATTCATTTTGTTCTTGAATGCAGTTCAATTATTTAATAACTCCAAACCAGTTCAATGCTCCTATGAAAATGGCTGCTAAGAGGCAGGTGATGTTGGTAAAGACCAGGCCTCCTCCCGATTCTTCCCCTCCCGTATCTCTGGAAGGTAGTTCAGTACACTGCACAATGCCCTAGAGATGAAACTGGGAGTTTGACAGTGTGGGAGATCATATCCTGGTGGTGGGGGGGAGAGGGGAGAGAGAGACAAATCTAAAACCTGCCACTCTGACTCGGTGAGTGAGCACGTCAATGTTCTCTGCTCCCTGAGGGAGAATGCAATTGAGGAGTTAGGTTTTTAATGATCAATTATGAGAAATTGCAGTCTCTGTTGTAAAAATGCTTATGACTCCCCTGGATAGAAACTGTGGAAGATATCCTCTGATTTAGCCCACAACTTCAGTTATGTGTTGTGAGCTGTTTATAGCTTGAGGTATTTTCACAAAAACCTGGAGCACACTGTTTCCATAACATGTAACATTTAGCTGCATTTGGCTATATTAAGAGACTTGTGTTCACAATAAATGAATATGATGGAGGATTATAAGAAATTGAAGGAAAGTGTTGGAGCCTATCCTGTCTCATAATTAGTTGATTCCAGCAACCTTTTCCCATTATTTCTTCTCTTGCATCCATCCAGGTTCTGAAGGTCTTGGTTTCACGGTAGTTACCAGGGAATCATCTGCACATGGAACACCTGGTCCCATCCTGGTCAAAAACATCCTGCTAAAGGGGGCCGCAGTGAAAGATGGCAGGCTGCAATCTGGAGACAGAATCTTGGAGGTGAGGAATCATCCTATATCCTCCTGTATGACGGAACCTCTGTTTCTCAAACCAGATGCTTTGTTAATTTGCTCTTCATTCACTCATTGATAATCCTTGCTCACAGTGAGTGTGAGTGGCACCAATATGGTGCCTATACAGGTTTTCATTAGCATTGGCTGTTTTTCTAGATGGCTTTCCCTCTGACTGTCTTTTGATTTCCCTATCCCCAACTTCTCTCACTCTCTCCCTATTTAATTTCTAATTTATTTTTTTCTCTCTTCAGCCTTTCCATTCCTCTCCTTTTAGTATCTTCATTTTCCCTCAGCTGTGTTTCACTGACTTCCACATACCTTTTCTCCTCCCAAGCACTATCAGAATTGGGGGAAATAATTAAACTGCACAGTTTGTAAAAACAAAGACCTGGCTACAGATGGTGAATGAAGAGAGAGAGGAATGAGCTATGTATTAGAGTCACAGGAGTGAAAAATATAGCTGGAGGATATTACAGATGTAAGTTGTGGGCAAAGTCATGTAGGCTTACAGATTTTAGTGAAGATCCTGAAATCTTGCTGTAGGTACATCAAAATACTAATAATAATCCTTGCATTTGATATAGCACTTTATCATGTCGCGTTTCGTCCACAAAATATACAGTCATTTCACTTTACAGTATATTTTGTGAAGCGCTTTGAGGCGTCGCAAAGATGTGATAAGGTGCTATATCAAATGCAAGGATTATTATTATTAGCATGTCAACAAAATGTCTCAAAGTACTTCACAGGATTTGCTGTGAAGTGACTGTTTATTTCGTAGGCAAATGTGGCAGCCAGTTTGCACACTGCAGTGTTCAAAGAAGTGGATGACGAATTTTATCTGGAAGATTGTTGGCCAGGACACCAGGAGACACTTCCTTCCCTTTTCAAATAGTGTCACGGGATCTTTAATGTCCACTTGATACAGCCAGGTGGGACCTCGGTTTTACGTCTCATCTGAAAAACATCTGTGACCGTGCAACCTCTCACCCCCCCCCCCCCCAGCACTGCATTGGAGTGTTAGCCCAAAGTGAGTGCAGTAGGCTAACACTCCGATTACTCCGAATCTTCCAGACGAGTGATTGACATAAAAAACGTTGCTCATTGCTTAAATCCCAATTGTAAGTCTGGAAGTGCGGTTTGAACCTGCAGCCTTCTGACTCTGAGGGATGAGAGCACCAGCAACTGAGCCAGACTAACACCTCCAAGAAAGAATGCAAAAAGCGATGGAAAAGTGACCCAGCTGATGCATCTTTGCGGGAGAATGAGGAGTTTAGTGGAGACAGGTGCTGAAGCGAACGCAGTTATGTTTTTACAAGATATAGCTACTGACAAGAGTGAGCCATGCGAGAAAAAAACTGTGCAATTGGGATTTAAGCAATGAGCACCGCTTATTATGTCAATCACCCGTCTGGAAGATTCGGGGTAATCGGTCTCTGAGGAGGTAGAGTACAGTTCTGGAGGCATGTCTTGCAGGCATGCTTCAACAACCAGGCATGAACGGTACTGTCTGGAGTTGATGGAGGGAATAGAAGGCTCATGCAAAGTACTCGCAACTTTGTTCTTTCACGGAGCAGGAAGTGAAACGATGTAAGTTGTCACTTGCAATGAGGGCTGAAAGCATCCTGCTGCTTCACTCGGTGAAGTAAACTAAGTGCTGCTTGATCAAGGCAGTGGTGTGTGCAGACACAGCCGCACACATCAGAAACTGCGGATGGATTACTGTGGCTGGGTTATTATGCTGCAAAATAAGAATCACTTTCACCCTTGCCCTCCTGAATGAGCAGGAATTCTGAGCAATTTGCAAAATCAAATGCTTCGACTGCACTGTGACATGTAATCTGAATAACCACAAATCTGTAGAGTTACATAGCAAGCATCCCTTGCCCTACTGAATCACCAGCTGTTCTGTGCAGTGACCTCCCGAGGAAACTACTCCACACTGTTGCGCTATGGGTTCTATCTCTTTAAGAGAGAATGAAAGATCAGGGAAATGAGATGCTTACTGGCTGTTTAAAATGTTATCCCTCGATTAAAGAGGTGATTCTTAGTGGAGTGCAGTTTTATAGGAAGTGACATCCCTTGCGCACATTTTCAGCATAAAAGTTTGTGTTGCATTAAAGCTGGAGGGAGGGGAAAGGAAAGCACAACAGGGTGTCACTTTTTATTTAATGTGATATGCCATCAGGAGTGGGGATCAGGAATGAGGATCAAGGATGTGATTTTCTTCCCTTAGTGGGATCTGAAACCTATCACGGTATCCAAAGTAGCTAAGATTAGGTAACTCAGCACACATGGAGAATTAAACCTGGGATCCTCCCAAGCTGCATGGCCCAAGCCCTGCCACACAGTGTGTTTACCCACTGCCTCATTGACAGCAAAGAGCAAAACCTGGATTTTCCTTTTTTTTTATTCAATTAAATTGGGAACGGATGAAGAAGGGTCAAGCTTCTCTTCTCCTGGTGTTTATCCTATCGTGCTCATTGTCTGGTCTCAACTGTTGCCACATTGCCTGTCAACAATCACCATATTCAAACCGCAGGGGCTGACAGAATTTGGCTTTGGCTATATTTTAAAATAGCTGTGAACATTGATAGACCTGGGGAATTCTACTAGTGCAATAATCTTCATTTCCCTTCTATTTATTATCCAAATAAAACGACGATAAACAAAGAGCAAAGTTGCTCATCAGCATCTCCCTGTAGTATTTTATTTTGGAATTGCCAGCTGTTTGCGATGACATCTGCGTAATTTTCACTTCGATCTTAATGTAACGGACTGTCAATCTACAGAAGAATTGGTTCAGGCTTCACAACAAAACTAGAAATCAGCAAATGACAAAGAGCATGATGTTTTGGGCAATAGCGTTCATCAGAATGTTGAAATCAAGGATGAGCGAGGATAAGAGATTAGAGAAAATAACTGCAGTGTGGGAACCACAATGATACAACTGACTAGATGGCCTCTAGGCTGCTCGTTGGCCCATTATATATGATGTCAACATAGCTCTCTGACATCTTGTGTTCCTTAGTGGGCTCCTATATAGAAACAATGGTTTCTTCAACCAAATTTCTTTCTTCTGTGTGGTGATGCTTGCTTGTTTGACGTTGCAATATGTGTAACCCACACTGTGCCACTATGCAGTTCAGTGTATTGAAGCCCTAGTGCCCTGCATTGCCAGCTTTCATCATCGATTTTTCAGCTGGAAGGAATTACTGTACTGATATAGAAATGATGCCACATTTGTCCCCTAGGGGGATGAGCATCGAACTTAGCCACAAAACCATCTGAATTTTTCCATTTCTTTGAAACTGTAATTAAGATCCAAAATGATTTCCAAATGTGTCTTATTGTCTCAGTGCTCCAAAAGACTACCCAACGTGAAGGGCGCTTATATAAATGCAATTTGTTGTTGCTGTTACGGTGTGCATTTAAGCACACCAATGTGAATCTCCCTGGCACGAGTTTAGTTTGGCCTGTACAGATTGCAATTTTCCTCACCTTTGCATCCTGCTATCTGTTACATAGCTGCTCACTGCTGGTGTTGTGATTGTTTCAATCAGGTGAATGGCGTAGATATCATGGGGAAGACTCAGGAGGAACTGGTTGCCATGCTGCGCAGTACTAAACAAGGCGAGACTGTTTCCCTTGTTGTGGCACGTCAAGAAGATGTCTTCATTCCACGAGAGCTGGTAATACATTTTCAGCCGGTCTCTCTTTCCTTTAGAGGGATAAGGCGCAACATCAAATGCAATTTTTATTATTATAATTTGCTGCTGGTAAAACATTGGGGGTGAGATCATGATCCTGGAGCTGAAAACCTATAGAGCCAGATTGTGCTACATCTTTACTACTTGTGTCTCTTTTTCATCCGTATCTGGTGACGCCTCCTGCACTTGTTTCATCTGTTGTGAATTTTTTTATAAATAGACTGTATAATGTAACGGATAAGCAATGTCTGACAGCGGGTTTAAGATATAATTCATTGTCCATGGTTTGAGCAAGGATTTATAAATTACTTGAGCTCCTGTGATTTATGATGTCACCTGAAAGGCTGCTTTATGAGTCGCAGAGCAACAATCCAGCTGTCCTATTATCTTCTGTTTGTTTCATTTTCTGATAAATTCACGATTGGGACATGATGATGGCGCCTAAAAAGGGTTTTATCGGCTTAACTGCTGTGAGGCTGCCAGCAAAGACGCCCACCAAGTGAGCGGTGGTATTCTCCAGGGACTACCCCTGTACGTCACACCTGATATCATAGCCAAGTTTTGCAGATGACCAGCATTTATTTCATTGATTGAATCTCTGGATGAAGTTCAGTTAAAATTGGGATTTATTTTGGAACGTCCAAAAAAAACTAGGTACTAACAAAACATTAACTTTATGCATCCGCCTGGCTCATTGGCAGCGCTCTCGCTGCTGAGAGAGATGGCTGTGGGTTCAAGCCCCATGTCGGTACTTGGAATCGCTGAGTGTAAAGTGACACTCAAATGCAGTGTTCAGTTGCATTGTTGGAGGTGCCATCCTTCAGATGAGACGTTAAATCGAGGTCCTATCTGCCTGTACAGGTGGATCCCACGGCGCTTTGAAGGGAAGTTTTCCCGGTGTCCTGACCAACAATCACCCAAATAAAAAAAAATTGGTCACGCACTCCATGGCTGTTTGTGGGGCATTACTAGATGCAATCTGGCTGCCGTGTTTCGTCCACAAAATATACCGTCAATCCACTTTACGGTATTTCCTGTGAAGCGTTTGAGATGTCTCAATGATACGATAAGGCGCTATATCAAATGCAAGGATTTTTTTTCAACAAAGCTGAAAAATACCATCACAGATCAGAGCAATAGAATCCAGTCGCCAAGAATGAACACGAAATGTGATGGACGTGTTGTGCTCGCTGCAGTACAGGTTCCAGAAATGTGCGCGCATTGTGTTGCGGACGTATTCCTGGAGCCAGCTTACCCCCTGTCAGGTGATGCATGCATAATTCCCAGAACATGCTCACCCGAGTGCACGCCTTACATTACCTATATATTTCCAAGACCCACTCACTTGCTTGTGCACCTCACATTTCACACATATTACTGCACCTCGCTGTGCAGAATTACGTTTCGGGCTGTGGTTTGCAATGTTATTTACATTATAAAGAAAAAGTTCAATTGAATGACGCCTCAAGATTTCCAGGGTTTCATACTCGCTCCTGTTTCTCTTTTTCCTATGCTTTAAAAGATATTCCCTGATCTTTTCTTATATCTCATGCCTCGTTCACTTTGTAGCACTTGTTTTTTATTGCGATCTGTGTCTATCTCTTTCCTGTGTGTGTGTGTGTCTATCTGTATCCCTCTCTGTGTCTCTTTATGTCTGTCTCTCCTGCGTGTGTTTCATTCTCCACTTTCTCCAGTTGTTTCTTTCTCTCTCTCGCTCTGTCTGTTTCTCTGTGTGTGTCTCTCTCTGTCTGTCTCTCGTATGAACTTCAGACTATCTTGCTCTCCAATTTGATTTGTGTGATGGGAAGATACGTGTGACCCTATATTGTGCTAAATCCTACACGAGGAAGGAAGGAAAGCATTTCCGACTTTTGTTTGGCTCTTTTTTTATTATCTCCTGTGGAGAAAATTAAAAAAAGGAGTTTCTTCCTCTCCTTCCCTTTCATTGTTTGTCTTGCTTCTTAAAATTTATTGCAGGGCTATCACTTTTCCCGGAACTTGTTTAATGACTTCTATTCTAGCTTCGCTTTTAAAAGCCATTGTTTGCGTTTTCATGTTTCCTCCTTGAGCTTTTGTCTTAAAAATGTACAATTTGCAGATCCCCTCAGCCCAATTTATTTTCTTGTCAGAAGATTATTTCAATATATTTTTCTAAAAGTGGAGGGAAGAGAGAGAGGAAAAGGTTTAGTACAGATGTGGTCAACAATCCCCAGAAAGAAATTGATCATTCACATCACAGATTTGCCGACAAATATGCAGTCACTACACTCCACAATAAAATTCTGTGAAGGGCTTTGAGACATTTCGATGACTTGATAAGGTGCTTTATTCAGTGGAGTAGCATGGCCCCAGGGAGCCCTGGTGCAAGAATCTAAACTTTTGCTTACCTTCACCATCTCCTCATGTTCTCTCTCCCCTGCGGAGCACATGGGTGATCCAGCTATATTGAACAGAGAGTGAAAGAACATAAGTTGTTCAGCCACCAATTGGTTGGGCCGAAAAACCTTGTGAGCTCTGGCTTGAATGCACCACTTGCTCCATTGTAGTTTTTATTACTATTGAACAAGAAGAGGTAAGTCAAGCCTGAGCGTGAAATGCAAATTATTGTTAAGAAACCAGCATCCGAGTTAATTTAGCTGTATGACTGAGTGATTTTTGTGTGACTGGCTGGTTGAAGAGCAGAATTGTGTTGAGACTTGGGAGAATCATGAAAATGTGGAGACGCAAACAGGAAGTTAAATCTCAATTGGTGTGAGGAGGAGTGGGGGTGATGGTGGATAGGGGGTGAGGCAAAAAGGATATTGGGGGAGTTTGTAGGAATTGTGGAATGTAACTGTGTAGTACAGTAGACTAGTTACCCTGAACTTGTGCCTCTAGAAGTTGAGTTTAAATGACTGGCTTGGCAAATGAATACACTAACAAACTCTTCATTTTTAGTTTTTACAACTCTGTGAGTCTAGTGGAGTCCTGTAACATATTGGTTAGATCACTCACCTCACAAGCGAGAGGACCTAGTTTCAATTTCTGGGCAGGGTGAAGCCTAAGGCAAGTTTCCTTACTCCACACCCCTCTGTTTCCAGCACCTTGGGATGTCCTCCCAATGTGAAAGGCACTATACAAGTGCAATTTTTTGTTTACCTAGCAGTAAGTAGGAACCCGGTTGTTACTCAATTGGTGGGTTGCTTTCCAGGGGTCATAATCCCATAAAAAAATAATAATAATATGGTCACTCAATCCACGACTGCGGGATACTCCTGCGCACAATTGGCTGCCACGTTTCACCCACAAAATCAGTCAGTTCACTTCACAATACATTCTTTGAAGTGCTTTGAGTTGTCGTAACAATTTGATAAGGTGCTATATTAAATGCAACTATTATTATTATAATTGAATACACTTGGTAGAATTCTTCGTTTTTAGTTTTTATCACTCTAACGTCCAATTATTTTCTCGGAAAGGCACCAAGTCATGACTGAAACAATTCTGATAGCACTAACCACCCTACTACAAATTGACCAAGTAGCAATTCTTTCTGTGTGAGCGCGGCTGTCCTCGCTGTTTGACTGAGGGGGTCTGTCTGCAGGCTGAAATTGGGGGATTACCCCTGGGATGATGTTTGTTACGGGGAAGCTGGGACAAGGTCAGAAGCCAGCAGCTGTATAATGGGCTGGTAATCGGGCTCTTCAGATAGATTATTTTTTCATAACCTCTTCTAAAAGGATTACAGTAACATTGCACATGCTTGCAACAATTTTGTGGTTTGCATTGCCGAGGGCCACGAGCAGCTAATAGTAGATTGATGACTGAATTCATCAAATGTTTATTTAACTGAAAGCACGGCTACAGGGCGGCATTAATAAGGCACCAAGTTACATACTCCCTCTGATTTTGCTGGGTTGTCTCAGACTCTACAGGTATTGAAGAATAGTGCTTTTGTTCCCATCATTATTATTTCATAAAGTGACATAATGTGGCCTTCCTGATGACTTGGGGAAATAAATACACTGTTACCTTGCACTGATCTGGAAGATCCCACCAGTTTGCATGAGTCAGCTGATCTCCATGAAGGCAATCCAGCAGTCCTCTGTGTCTCCAGGTTCAGAGAAGGAATAAACAGCTTCTGAGTCAGAAGATTGTGGGTTCAAGCCCCACGTTGGGATTTTGAGCTCTCAGTCTAGGCTGACACTCTAAAACAGCGCTTTGAAGTGCACTACTTTGTTGGAAGTGTTGTACTTTGGATGAGATGTTAAACAGAGGCTCCATTCAGGTGGAGTTTAAAGATCCCATGGCTCGATCCCATGACTATAAAGACTCGAAGAGAAGGGAGTTTCTCATAGTGTCCTGGCCGACAATCTCCTGGCAAAATAATTAGTCATCCACTTCATGATTGTTTGCCGGGACGTTGGCCATGTGCAAATGGCTGCCTCGTTCACTACACTTCACTGCTTTAAGAGGCCTTGCTAATGTGATAAAGTCTGTATCAAATGCAAGCATTACTATATATGAGGTAGTCTGTTGGGAAATGCACACCATAGAACCATAAAAATTTACAGCACAGAAGAAGGCCTTTCGGCCCATGATGGGTGTGCTGGCGTTTAAGAGCAATCTTTTCAGTCCAATTTAACTGTCCTATCCCTATATTTCTGTAGTTGACTCCTTTCTAGGTATTAATCTAGTTCCCTTTTGAAAGCTAATATGGATTCTGCCTCAAGCATCGCTTCTGACAAACATTTTGTAACCTAACTACTCTGTGCATGAAATAAATTCTCCTAACTTCCTCGTCAGCTTGTTTGCTAACTATCTTAAGATGCTCTCTAGCCACACGTTAGGTGAGGACATAATGCCCCACACAATCGACTGGGTTAGCTGCTCTCAACTGAAAGCAGAGTTTACTTTCGGGGTGGGGTGCTGCTGCTGGTGGCTTTACAAAAATGCTTCAGCATTAAGGAAGAAATTGGAAGTAAATGAAGGGAAATAAAAGA